AGAGAGAGAGAGAGAGAGAGAGAGAGAGAGAGAGAGAGAGAGAGAGAGAGAGAGAGAGAGAGCCGGTTGGATAAGACAGTGCCCAGTAACGCAAGGGGGGGGGGACCAAACAACTTCCAAACCGTTGTGTCCTCTGGGCGGTCTGCGGGGAGCTCTGGAGCTGTTGCCACCAGAGAGGTAAGACAATGAACAGCCTGCCACGAAGATGCAAGCACGTGCACGCAGCCTTTATGTGCATATATGTACATATGTGCGTGTGTGCCCTGGATCACAACAGTGCGCACTGCGCTCTGTCCATCTGCACTCCGTCACTGTGTTTATGTTGAGCTGAGAGGCTGCCATAACACACTGTATAGATGGCGCTTGGCGCGGCGCGTGCGTGACGTAGATGTATTTTCGAAGTGTTGGATCTGCGCATTAATGCGTTTGCCGTGCGTGTGGTACGTTTAAACGTGTTTATACTAAATCGCTTCATCTTGCGTTTTAGTAGCAGGTTGCATTGCGAAGAAATGGGAAGTTTGTTGCATTGGAGCGTGTACAATTCGAACACCTGCTCCGATTGAGATTCATGAATTGTGTATGAGTGTACCTATGTGCGTGCGTTGCATTTGGGGGTCTTATGTGAAGTGGAGGCTTTGTTCATGGGCTTTTTCGAAACACTTTCTCATTGTGATTTTACTATGTGTGTGCATATGAGTGGGTGTGCGAATCTTGTGTTACTACTGAGAGACGTTGCAGCAGATCCGTATGGAAGTGTGTTAATGCCAAAACTGCACCAATCCAAGGCCAGGTCTATGAGCGCTCACACAGATCAGCTTTGTTTTTTAACAGATTTAGAGAACTTGAGTTGTATAGGTGCATTTTTTTTGGTTAACAGGTTTTAATAAGAGGTGCCCTATCTTAAGTAATCAACAGGCTTGAATTTATTTCACAGTTAACGAATCCACACGGAGCAAATGCCCTGATGTGACTTAGAAGGTGGAGTCTAACAGAACAAAGATTGACATCCAGGTCAAACCCAGTGGCGTTTTGCTGTCAGGTGAACTTTGCATGTGAGGTACATATATGATGAGCTAGCAGTTTGAATGTCACATAAGGAAGGATTTTCATGCATAATTAGTAAAACAATTCAATTCTGTCCTCAAACATGTGATATACTCCTGACTTTTTCCTCACATGTTCTCCAAATAACAAATGTGACCCCTAGTGCTTCATTTTGTTTTAAGCTTTTTGCACAGCTTTTTTTGTGCATCATTTGACTTCCATAGCTTTGTAGTAGTAACTTTATTAAAAGCAAGTCTTGGCCTAAAAGAAGAAATGTAGGAAACAAAACAAACATAGGCAGCCAACTTAAAGTCACAGTTTTAGTTTTTTTGACTGAAATTAAATATGGATAGATATTTGACCAAACGATCCCAGCACAACAGCTACTTCGGCCTACCTGCGATTTTATCTAAACATAAAATCTCAGATTTCCTCTACAACACATCTGATTTATGATTTAATATTTGTTTTCCTCCTTTAAAACAAACTAGGCCTAGACAAGTCTTTACTTATTGTCATAAATCTGTAGATAATCAACTTTCTATAATTCGGAGCTGCTTTTAGGTCCTTTACACACCGGGGGCGTGATGAATTATCAACACGGAAATACGAAATGCTCACAAGCAAATATTTCGGACCAAAACGATTCATACCATGAATGATGCAAATTCACGACAATCTCAACACTTTATCAATAAAAGGTTTGAATACTTTTGCGCAGGCAGAGGGCTAACTACCAGGATCCTTAAATGACTCAGATCTGCATCTGCTTTTATTGTGAAAGGTAAGAACAGAAGGTTTGGATCTGGTATGTGCTGCCTTTGTCAGGATTGAAAGGAGTAATATAGTTTGCTCTCTTGGTTTGGAGCCTCCATGTTGGTGTACAATAAATTGTGCAATTTGAACACGTCTGTACAATGTGATTGTTTGATGCCTTTAATCAAGGTGCAAAAGGTCAGTGAAATGGACCTTTTCCCCCCAAGAAAGTTACAACGGCGTAGTATTTGCATTCACATGAAAAAAAAAGCCCCCGGTGTGTAAATTCCTTAAGACTTAATGTACATTTTGGCTTGAATGTCAAGCTTTTAACAACACATATATACCATTCGACACATATTCAGGCAGCTCAGTTTGTTTGTTTGTGAGTGTTGTTCTGTCTTTTCATAGACTGGGGGTTGTGCTTTAGGGGTGTGCAAAAATGTCTCATTTAATATAAGATCACAACCATTGACTTTTGTTGTTGTCTCTGTTCTTTGTTTTAAATCTGTATATATTATGTGTATTGTTAACTGTGCTGTACCTCAAGTTTTCTAAGTCTAAAGTCTCCAGTGTTGTTGTCTCTCTGCAGATAAATGAACTCATGAAGCATGGTCTCTTGCTGCTTAATGAAGATGAAAGTATATTTGTGAATAGTACTGGCAGAGATGTGACATTTTCCAGCCAATGACTTGCTTCTAATCCCATAAACAAAGACCATAAACACAATAACTGGTCACGTACAAAGAGTATTTGTTGACACAGATCATTACAACACAGCAGTCAACTCTATCTGCTTCGAGAGAACAGCAAAGTAAGTTATAAATCGTATGTGTACACTGATATGTTCAGCAGCTAGAAAACAGGATAAAAAGAATAGCATTAAAGAAGCCTGTTAATAAAACCGATATATCCACATTAAACTGTACTTGAACAACAATCCATAAAAAAGCAAGGGGCACTGCTGTACATCTATCATCTAGGTGTAAGTGTGTCTTCAATAGAGATGTATGCCAGCCTCCCGTCACAGACATTTACAGGGCAGTAACCTGCTGCCTAATTTAAGCGCAGAAAGATTGCTGATAAAGCCAGATAATCATCCTGGTATCTTTCACTGCCAACTGTATGTGTCATGTCTCAGCCAGGTGTGCCCTACAATATATTGTTATTGTCAAAACCGATGTGTCAGGGGTACTCAATAATACTTTTTTTTGCATCCAGAGGGTTGTATCAGCTACACAGTACGACACGATGTTAATCTGAGCAACATGCAGAGTTAAAATCAGTGCAAAACAAGCTTCTTTTTGCCACAGTACAAACAAAAGCAGTGTAGGACATTTGTTATCAGTGTAGTCCAACCATTTGCTGCTACATAGAAAAATTGGACCAGGACTGTGTCTTATTTATATAACTAGCCATTTAGATCACCATGAATAAGCTGGAAGGTTGAAAACAAGCAGAGACTACACCTTCCTCCAGAGTTTACCTGAACTGTATGAGCTTATTAACAGCTGTTTATATTATAGGTTTCCTCTGAGGGGGTTGGGGAGCCTGCAGGTATCTACCACAAAGGATTGTGAATTATTGCGTGTATGTTTAGTAAGTCATATTTAATAACTGTAACAATTATTCCATTCTGACGGTCCCTCTCAGTAGACGTTCACAAGATTTGTGCTGTTTTGTGTTCCTACCGAACTCATTCTGGGTATTCTTTCTCATCAAATCTCATTGAGGGTCTTTGGCTACATTCAGATCACATTGGATGAAGAAATGCAGCCTCCTCAGTCATTTGAAGAGACCAGTATGGAACAAAACATCAGTCATCCTGCAAAAAAGTTGAACCCATGGCTCAATATTTTGTGTTGTGGTGGGCAAGCTGACTGGATAAACAGGACACTGCAGGGCCGTGATTAGTGCTGTCACAGTACCACCAATTTGGTTTGTGATACCAATACCGGTGAAATTCCACAATCCTCAATAGCCAAGGCTATACTACGACTAAAAACAAAACAGTAACTCCCATGTACTTCAACATACAGTCCTTTATTACATTTGCATACAAGTTTTGCCAATTCATTATTAATAAGTGATGATAGACCTCAGGTTTGTTGCTTAAAACTAAATTTTACAAGAATACATTTGAACAATGATGATAATGTAGTCATTTATTTTACCCTGTACTCGTTTTTTTACTGAATAGAGCTTGAAGGCAGCATAATGTAACTCAATGCAACCTCTATTAGCTCCGTTATTTCGCCAAGCAGGACTGTTAACGTTCTATCAATTTTAAGATGCATTTGTTGTCGTCAATGCAGCATTATCAGGGGATTCTCTATTTTTCTCGGGGCGATGGTTTGAGGCGAGATACAAGCCCTAATCCCCGGTACCTACGGGGTACCTGTGGTACTGGAGAAACATTTGCATTATGACATTTGGTTCTTGTGACATCCCTGGTCTAGGGATCTATTCTAGGGCTCTACACCGTAGATTGCAAAGTTACCAACAAAAGATAATGCTGTTTGACAACTTTACAAAAAGCAGCTCCCTTACTCTACAAGAACAAAACTTACCTGCTAGCTATAATATTCAACTCTTTCCTGGTGCCTCTGCCGCCTGGGCGGTAAGCTATAGGTTTACATAGGTTTATAATAGCTATAGGTTTACATAGGTTGAAATGTGATACATGACTCAGCATAAAGACTCCAAACAGACAGAGTATAATGAACAGGGATGGTTTACCAGGATGTCCCCAGTTTTTCAAATTCTCACCCCAACTTTCTACCACCATAGTAGTTGATGAAAACACCACACGACACGCATGAATCGGAGAAGACATATTCATTTATTGAAATAACACAATTGCCACCTGAGTGATAAAATACAACAATCAATCAGAGTTCATGTTGCTCAATTAATTGTGTCATTTTGTTGCATCCTCTTGCATGTATTCACATTACCATCCGGATCCGCATTATATTTTGCAGACATTTTGGCTTCCATAACATGTCGTCTTCTAGAGGAAAGAAAACATCCAATGTACACCAGTGTTTCTTTGACCATTTGCGTTTTTAGGTTTGTCCTATGTTCACAAAAAGTTAGCATAAGATAATGCCTCATTTGTATTTTCATACATATCAATACAAAGTCATCAACTAGGTCATTTTCAAGGTGGTATCAATCAGTTAAATATTGTTTTACCCTATTCAGCTGTAGTCTTGCAAAATGTAGGCAAACACAAATCTAATCTATTTAAAGGGCTTTTTCTTAAAATTAGTTTTTTTTCTCACACTCCAGCACTTACATACACCAAACCTTCCAGTAAATTGATTTGAATGGCTGTTGAGAGTATTTTCTGATTTATGGATTGATACAGAGATATATAAATTTCTCTCAGTAAAAAACAAGGATTTTTACGCTGGCTTCATTCAATGTTTATATTTCTGTTCTACAATTTTGTGCAAATAAGCACATACAATTATAGAATTCCAGAATTCATGATAATTGCCTTAATGTAAATGCAGTGGTGAAGTTGATATCTATTTTTTATTTTTTTTTTACCCTATTCATCGGTAGGGTCTCCCCTTATAACTCAACGTTTGGATGGACAAATAATTACTCAAAGTACTTAATAACCTCTATACTCTATACAGTCAGCAAACACAGAACAGTTGCTGTAGCTCTACTTTCCTACATGCACCTTGCGCAGTAATACGTCAGTCTCATTAGTGCTTCTTTGTCCTCTCACACATGGTAGAGATGCTACAGTGGCCCACCCAAATTGCAACTGCAGCCTTACATGGCCACACTTCAGGCTCAAGTTTAACTGCTTATTCATCAAAGCTTAGGCAGCTAAAACACACACACACACACATGCTGCTGCTGCAGCAGAGATGAAACCCGCAAAACAAAACACACTGTGTCTTAGATGTGGATGTGAGAAGAGAAGGAGGAAAGGAAAAAGAGGTGTCAACGGGAAGGGAGAGATGAGGAAGAGATAGAAGGATGAGAAAATAATGAAAGAGAGATATTAGAGCATATATAACCCATGTGTATTGAGCCTGGCAGAAACCCCGGGGAAATTCAGCAGCACAGCAGAGTTACTTTGCTGTTTTGATTTGATGAATATTCATGATCAGGCAGAGAGAGAGGGAGGCAGCCTGGTTCATGGCAGTATTTTGATGTGTTGCTAGCTACCAGCTAACAAACGGAGCCCACATATTACATTTGTTCAGCAGTATGAATAGATTGGATGTTGTGCCCATTGATGGATGTTTCCCAATTCACTCTGATTGGTCGAAACAGTGGACCATTTAGAGCTTATTAAGTGGGAATCTTTTATCAAAACTTTTGTACTGTATCTCCTCACTTACCTTTTTACATCAAAGGCAGCAGATTAAACCGGCAGGAGCTAGTTGTCGTGAACAGCTATTGAAATGTTTGGCTCTCTGCAGTTGCTATCTGCGTCAAGCCAAAGGTTGTTTGTGAGGGATAAGACACATCCCTCTGTAACAACAGTTGTGTGTCACTTCACAATAAGTAGACTGTGTGTTGTTTTAGTTGAGCAGGGACCAACAGAGTGACGGCTCTAATGATAACCTCATGTCAATTGAAGAATCTACATTTTGATCTAATCAGTTGAATATTTCTAAATCAGGACCCTCACTCTTTGGAGTAAGTATCTTGTGTATTTAATTATGCATTTAATTAATTATTATGCTCATTCACTGTTTGTAGGTTCAGGTTGGGAACATTAATTATGTTGCAAAAAAAGGTGGTGCTTCTGCTTTCCCAGCCAAAAAATGGTAATTAAACATCTTTGAGTAGTTCGTTGTCCAACGTTGAAGTACTTACGTACTTTGAAAAGTAAACCTAATAACATTTGAGGAGCAATTCAAAAGGATTAGATTCAAACACTACATGTGTTTGTGACCAGTTTTAGGAACCAATGGGCTTGAGAGCCTACGGCCGCACACAGAGGTCAGAAATTAAGAAATGTGTTGTTGGAAAAAAAAGTATAACACAGACCTCTCCTTTAAATGGAGGAAACAGTTTTTTGTTGGTGGTAGATAATCTTTTGTCTTGCTTTCAAATAATTGCTGATCTCTCTCTCTCTATTCCCCTCTCTCTCTCTCTCTCTCTCTCTACTGCATCAACACCCATAAATATTGATGTCATCCCCCCCCTCTCTCCCTCATTCTTTCCATAAGTCTCTCTCATACATCTTGGCGTTAACATATTCCTCAAGGGGCAGTGCATTAATAGCAAATTTGATGCTGCCAGCTCCTCTCCTCCTTTTTTGCTGTAGTACTCATTCTTTCAGTTTCCTAAATCCCTCGACTTCTTTTCTACCTTACCGTCTACCATCTAATCACTCTTTACCATCTCTTTTACTTCATTTCCGTGCTCGTCAAGCATCTTCCTTCCTCCCTTACTGTCTTTTGGTCCTCATGTTTTTGTGCTCTCCTACATCATCCTTTTTTTTCCTGTTCATATTTCAGACCCTTTTTACCCTCTCTTCTTTACTCTATTCTCTCTAGCCCCTCCTCTCCCTTTTGTCTGTCCTTTTCCTTTCATTCATCCACCCTACCACTGAATACAGCAACCTTTATTTACATTTAGCCAAGCAGGCAGCAGTGAAGTTAACACCCAAAGCACACCCAATAGTGATGTCCCAGGACCCAATAGTACACTGCACATCACTGCAGCAAGGTGAGAAGTTCAAGCAACCATAACAATTGATCCTTTGCCAAGCCCCTCCCCCTTTGGTAACTGTTGCTAGGCCCGTCAAGCTTTCGCACTTGACATGTCAATATGGCGTTTTCAACAATATCAGTGAGGTATATTCCAAAGGAATAATAGTTCTGAAATATCAGTGAGAAGTAAACAGAACTATTTGAGAGATACTTTCACAATATAATTTGTTGGTGAGTATTGTGAATAAAGAGGCCATTGAAATGGGGGGAAAAGCTTAGCGGTCCCAATGAAAGCTTCAGACACCCCGCGTCTTGTCTAGCGATCGGTATCTTTAGGATTTTATCGATACTACTACTCTTATCTAAAGTCTAGCAGCTGCATTCGAACAGTGTTGAAAATTTCTAACCTCTGACCACACCCAGCATCACTTATGGGTGTGATCTCAATTGCATCTTCAACATCTCCCAGTAATGTCACAGGGGCTAAGAGTACACCTGTACATCACTGCAGCAATGTGAGAAGTTAAACCACTTGATATCATGGAGTGTTAAGTTACTCTTTAATTTGTACCCACAATTAAATGCTGGTTCAAATTTACAATAAAAAGTGAGTCATTATGGCCTCATTGTTTACACTAGCTTTATTATGACACTACATGTGACACCACACTTCTTCCTTCCACCAGGTGGGTTTAAAACGTCCTCGTTCTCGGTCAGAGATGGAGTACCCCGACGACTTCCTCCTTGCTGAGCTGGGCCACCTGCAGCTCTACAACGACTTCAATGGTACCTACTACAATGAGACCGAAGCCTTACTGCCAACAGGCGTGAAGGTCACCATCGTGGTCGTCTACATGATTGTCTGTGTCATCGGCCTGGTCGGGAACTTCCTGGTCATGTATGTGATCATAAGGTAAGGAGAATATGAATTTCTACAGGCGCAAAAATTAAACCTGTTTAAACCTAGCGTCCACAACATCCTTGAAACATTCGCCTGTTCAACAAGTTTACTTTTGAGACATTGGAGGTGGGAATGGAGCAGACAGTGGCTGTTGTCTCCACTGCGGCGGAGGCATCAATGATAAACATCATCATGCACTCATATGAATGCGAGCACATACAATTTTAACACGCACGATCACAAAAAAGGGTCGCATATGCAACCGTCTGAAGCCTTGTTTTGTTTTAAAGGGACAGTGTGTAGGACTTTATGGCATCTAGCGGTGTGGTTCCATAAAGCAACCAACTGAATCATCCCCCTTTTCTGTCTTTCTTCAACTATTCCAATAAAAGCAATTAAAGCCCTAGAAAACCCCAAAAATCTTTTAAAAAAACGGTGGTACAATACTGCGGATCCACTCTCTATGTTGATATGAACGGCTCATTTTAACTTAACTGAACACAACGATACTTAGTTCCTGGTTATTATTCAATACAATATTCCGTTTTTTGCTTATAGATCATCCTAAATCCTACACACTCAACCGTTAACGTTTCAAAAGCCAAAACCATTGATTAAGAAAAAAACATAAGTTAATGTTCAGAAGTTGCAGCATGAGAAGGTATCTGGCTCCTACAAAGTAAGTTTGCGACCACTCAAGGTGATCTTTTAAAATGCACAAGCCACCCTCAGCATGTGTCTACCTGTTTGTGTATACACATGCCCTGTTGAGTAGATATGTGTCTTTTGTCTGTGTGTGTGTGTGTGTGTGTGTGTGTGTGTGTGTGTGTGTGTGTGTTTGCAAATATTCTCTGTGGATTTGATTTGAACAAACGTAGGTGAACATCTGGATGTTGTTTGAGTCAGTGTATTTGTGTGCACTCATGGTTGGCCTGGTGGACAGCTGCTGTCTGCTCATGTATGTCATGTTAAACCAAAACACTATACACACTGAATAGGTGTGTACAGTGTGTGTGTGTGTGTGTGTGTGTGTGTGTGTGTGTGACTTTGTTGTTGGAAATCTGTTGCTCTGTATTTAAACTCAATATTTGTTTGTGTGAGACAGACGGCTGAAAGCTCTGTCCTTGCTTCTTGTTTTCAAACTGGAGACTAATGGCGGCGTTATGGAAATTTCTCTCTAAAAATGGTTAGCTGTCCATTTAATATCTACGTGTATTTTTGCTTGAGAAGCAGTAGCAAGCGCTTGGACTTGAAGTGGAGAGAAAATAATTATATGTTAGAAATGTGAGCTAGTGTGTGTGTGTGTGTGTTTTTGTGTTAGAATGCTGTCTCCATATTACCTCCATCGTTGTAGATAATTACTATCCTTGTTAGACCTGTTCTCACTCTGACATCTACATGGAGTTCTGTAGATAGACATACGCACACATAATAGGAATCATTCCTTCTGTCTCCACCTCTTTAGCATTCCCACCCACATATACTCACACACAACATTTCACTCACTGGGGCGACCTTAGCAGCGGCCTTGGTTTAATTCCAAACCGCAGCCTTTTGCTGCGTGTCATCCGCTCTCTCTTTCTCTCCCTCCATCTTTGTTATTTTCCAGCTGCTTGCATTAAAGGCAATAAAAGCCCTAAAAAAGAATCTTCAAACCAGAAACAACAAAAGCTAAATTGCATTAAAAAAAAACCTAAGCATTGACACACTTCTGAAAACACACACACACACACACACACACACACACACCCACACACACACACACACTGGCCCTTGTCAAGGGTGTCAGAAGGAAGCAGCCTCTTCCTGTAAAGCAGGTGGAGGCTAAATAACATCATGTCACTAAGCCGTCTGTGCATATTTTGCAAATTTAAATCTCAAATATTCACAAATGCTAGCGACTAGATTTGAGCTGTGTATTGGCTGCCCAACACTTGATCTTGAAGTTGATCATGTTTTTTTTTCCTTGTGTATTTTATTTCCTTATGCTAACATAAATTAATGTATTTAAGATAGTTCAATACATATAACACGATATAAATCTGTAATTCAATGAGTAAAGCTCTGGATTGCTGACATCTGATTAGCACTGTAGTAAAACATGTAATTGAATCACACACTTTAAAGCAAAAATTAAATCTGAAGATATGTATGTACAATATGTATACATCACTCCCCAGGTAAGTTACACTGGTTTTCAGAGGCACCTTAAAGAGCTTGACACCCTTGGAGAATTATCTCCGACTCAGTGCAGGACTGAGCATCAACAGAGAGCTCTGAATTTAAAGATATCCAATTATCACAAAGACTTAAAGAATGGGACTCAATGGGACTCTAGTAGATTTGGTATTAAAGTGATGGGTTGTGGGTAATTGCCTTGGATGGACTTGCATCTTATCCAGGAGGTATGTATTCAGGAGCCCAAGTACCAAAACAGTAGGCTGCCCAACCAACTCTCTTATTCATGTAGAGAGTCAGCAGAGAGAAAGAAAATGAGATTAAGTGTAAATTAAATCTGCTTTCACTGTGCACCAGATGTGCCATTTGGATGCAGTTTTTAAGAAATAATCACAGCTAAGAAAAGTCTGAGTCATTCTTTTGAGGCAGATGGGAAGAGGTGACATTTAACCTACACAAACGCAAGCCCACACACTCACAATCTACTACTACTGTGTGCAGATAACAATTTTTCTTTTTACATAAATAGGCAAAACTGCTCTCTACGAGTTACTGTGTCCTGCCGAGAGACCGTTGAAAGATATAGCAAGATATCGCTCAAAGACGTCCAAAGCGACGTTAGGAATTTTGTAGTTTGGGTGCATTCTGTTTACTACCACCATCTTTGTCAATTACTAAAGCTGTACAATCTTAATTTGGCCAGCAGGGTGAACTTGAGCAGGGTCAAGCAAAGGGAAACTCACAAGCTTACTGGGATAGTCTGAGACAAATGTTATTCAAGCAAATGTGCCACAAAGTATACCAATTCTAAAGCCTCGTTTCTTTTCTCATTGAAGTAATAACCCTTTAATCCATTTGAGGGTAGTCTACCAAAATAATATGTCCATTGCCCATTTTCTCACTGTGGGGAGTCTTATAAATGACCTCAAGTGATGTAATTTGAGGCAGAAATTGATTGTGGATTGAGAAAGAAGAGAGTTTGCCAGACTTCTGGTTCGAGGGTACATTAGCCACTACTAGTGTAACACCTCAGAATTACATTCTGGATAATGTAGGCCCCAGGTTTAGACAAGGAACAGGAATGAGTGCAATAAAAAAAAAAGTGATATCTCTGCTGCAACGTTTTTTTTTTTAACTGTTTTTTGTGATTTCTCTGTGAGAGCTGATATAGCTCAGAAAGTCGTTGAAATGAAGTGGCTTTGAAAATCCAGATGCTTTAATACTACATGCTTTATACTACACTTACTATACTATACAATTACTATACAATACTACACTTTTTTTGTCTGTATTGGAAAGATTGATTTTATGTTAATAATACCTTCCTAACTTGTCTTTGTCCTTTACACTGTGCACAGTGTAAAGGACAAAGGCACAACTTAGTCACTCTTTAAGCCAGATGGAATTATGTGACATTCAACCCACAAAACAAATTCACACCGTAATTAATAAGTTACTGTAAAATGTCTCCCTCTTGGTGGAGCTATGGATGAGAGAACAAAAGACAGGCACAGGCTTGTGCTGTTCACGTGTCAGGTGTGACAGAGCGAAGCAGGGACAGTGGGAGGCCGGCAATTTTAGAGAGCAGAACAAAGAGAAGCTTGACAAAGACACGGAGGAACTCTGGGATTTGTCCAGTGGGTGGTTCGCTTTGATATCGGGCCCCAAACAGAGATGGAGATGGATTGAAATGTGACTGAGACAGCTGAAGCCTAATGTTTAGCTTGTCTGAACTTTTGAAATCATTCTGTGGATTTTGTCCCCAATCTTTTACACTGTACTAATGTGGAGAAGGGATGACTTCAGGGCCAGAATGGACTGGAGGAATAATAACAGCTCGAGGTACATTTGTCTTGTGTGTGTGTTTTGACAGACTTGAAAATATCCAAACCATTAAACATTCATTACTATTTCATCAAGGGATTCTAGCTCATCCATACAGCATCGTCAGCAGCTGTTTTGCATTTTCTCTCCATTCACTTTCTATCAGTGGGAATAATCTGAGTTACATCAGAGGATCTTGTTTACTGTAAAATGACCTGAACGCCGTCCTCTGGCAGCAGCAGCTTTTTGATGCTTGGTAATACAGTTTAAACCAGGTCACTCGTTAAAAAAAAGAAAAATTAGCAAGGGGAACTCAGTAAAATAAACAATAATTTGCAACCGATATATGCAAATGTGGACACACAAACTGTGTGTGGCTCGAGTTTTTCTTCAGCAAAAAACTTGAAAATCAAAGTGAAGGTGTCTTTTGGAAGGGAAGAAGAAGAAAAAAGTGCTATTCTTCACGGATAATCCATAAATCTTTGTTTAAATAGCAGGGTTGGTGACAGATGGAAACCAATTGGGGCTGACAGCAGCTGTCCAATCCACCACTTCCTTGTAAACAATAACAAGCGATAAAAGGCATGGAGGAAAAGCAATCGAGCAGCATTAATTGAGGTTGCATGTCTGTAGAGAAACTCCTCTCACAGCATCTTTTTGCTTTTTGTTTTCCCAGACATGCCCTAGTGCTTTGACAGCGCTGCAAGCTTAGCGTGTTTCCCGCGTCGAGTGCTGTCAGAGGACAGTAGAGGAAGAAGAGTTTTAACTTCCAGCAGCAGAGCGCCGCAGTGCAGCCGTGTTTTTGGCTCGTAGCAACAACAACAGCTAAGAGCAGGGATTTCTACAAGCATCTGTTTAGTGCTACAGGCCCAAAAAAAGAGCAGGTGGACCACGGGGAGAGATAAACATCATGCTGAATTGAGCAGAGAGCAGCCTTGAGACAGAGAGAAGAGAGGATGGCAGGATGAAGCTGTGTCTACACGGAGCAGGGTTTTCTGTTTTTTTTGAGA